TAGTATGAAACAACACGAGACACACATGGAAGTGTGCGGAGCATCGTGCGAGTGCCTGACGATAAAAAAAAAGAGAGGCTTTTACTCTATACTAATAAAACAAAAGAAAACGTCATTCCTGCATTGCTTACAACAATCTTAGGTTAAAGCAATCGCTCGAGACTGGCTGCGGGCGGCTATAGGCTTGGCGTGCGCATGCGCGCGAGCAAGACCCCCGTGATTGAGGAGTAACTTGAACGCTGAAGGAGGAACGTTGCTCCTTTGGTCCTTGCCGTGAGAGGGCGCGAAAGTAAAGCGCCCGAAAGGGAGCAAGTCGCTGCGCCGAAGGAGGAACGGAGCCCGTTTCTCCATTCTCGCTCCCTTTTTTTTAGAGTGCACTTATCAATCATCAATCATTCAGCAGTAAAAGCTTCAGCAAAGCGAACACCTGCTTAGCTTTACGTGGTCTCCTAATGACCCTTGGCAAAAAACATAATTCAGAAAAGCACACTTGCACTTACAATAGGCATTCGAGGACACTTCAATGCGGTCAGTGTTACGTGCACAGTCAATAAATTTTTTACTGCAGAGATGAGGCATCCACCGAGAACCGAATTCAGGCTACTCAATGTGAAGGCAATGCGCACGAGTCCCGATGACGTTATCGCATTCTACTCTTGGAGGTGCGAAGCTCAAGGATCATCCATATTTTTAACGGTGTCATCGAACTGAACTTCTGTTTACTGGACAGATTTTTGTTCGCAGGGCGTCGGACGCAGCTGAATGCGTAGTTATGGGCACGATTCATTGCAGAAACCCAGAAACAATGGGACACTCGTATTCCCGCAGAACCGAGTTTTGTTTTACAACAATACGCCGTGAAGTAAGGTGGGCTGACTTACGTGAAAAACAGTTATTCATTGTATTCCGCTCCATCGTCCAATTTTGAGGGCTTTTCAAAGAGGGGGAAGGTTGAAATCAAGACTTTGAATTGATTTTGATTAAAAGGGCGAATGTGAATCGCTTTAACACATGAAGAACCACTAAAAAGGGTGCTTCACTTTGACACAGCCTTGGGGGCATACGAAACCAAAAAAACGTTCTTTAAATTGGATGCTTACATACAAGTGACCTCCATATATCTCCTGCCTACATAGTCACTAAAGATTGCTGGTGGCAATATAGCTTTGTGCATACGTTACTTTGATATCAAAGTAGGCGCAACTGCTCACTTAAAGTGGCGGCGCATATTTACTTCATCACAATATTGCAGATTTATGGAATGCTTGGCCAAGCTTTGGAATATCGCCATTCAGAGGCGAAACTATTTAGGCCGTGGGTCGTGCGTCTTCGATGTATGATGTAGTAGTAGGTAGACACCTTTTGTTAACTCCTTGCAATGTCCACCGGATCGCGGTACTTGTATATGATGAATATGTGATGAAAAGATGCGAGATGGTGGTACTTGGAGTGTTCACTAGATGGATGACCAGACAGACAGACATACTCACGGTCGGACGCGGCCAGCGGATGGACGATTCACGGTTCACCAATAAAAACCCCCGAAGCTTCGCCCCACTCATCATCATTCACTCCGTGGATAAGCTGTCAGTTTTTTAACGAGTATTTCTTACGTCCCAGTGAGACAATAAAATTTCACGACTGACGGATTGGCGCTAAAAGACAGAAGACACGGAAAGACGCTAGAATACAGAACTTTTCTGATCCTGCATTTTCGTCACCGTTCGATAATGAAGTTTCCATATTACAAAGCTCACAGTGCCCCTTTTCGAAAACTCTTAGCTGGAGTTATTCTGAAGGTGCGTGTCATGAAGATTGTTGATTGTATTTCGCTTAAAATTGACGGAGGCAACATCAAGATGCAGACCAAGAAAGAGCCACGTTTTAATACATGTGTCTTATTTATAGCAATGTATAAGTACACTGCGCATGTGGGAGCCGTATCGGCTGATGGCGAATTGCACGTGCCTGCTTAGATGTTTCGTCTACTGGGTCGCCTAAGATAACATGAAGTGCTGAAAACAATTACTTCACCACGCTGTCCATAAGGGAAGGCAAAACGAAATTGAAAGCACCTGTAATGGGTCAAGCGGAGCGTAGTGCACATATAGCGAAGGCGGCTGCAACATGATAGAGTCACACAAGAAGTCTGCTCAGGTTCAGCGTGCGTGAACGTAGTTTTTTTTGCTGTTCTGGTATTTTAGCTGTCTTTTCGTAGCTTCAGAGCAAATCAGGTAAGGCAGATTAACAACTAAGGAGCAAAGAGAAAGCAAAAGCGTCTAAGTGGCTGGTACTAATAAAAAAGTTTTCAGCTATCAGACCTAAAAAGATAGCATTCAGCTATCAGACCTAAAAAGCAAAACATATGTGTGCCCGCTTCAGACCCTTGTAATCTAAATACTAAGTAAATGTTTTCACAGTATGCTTGAGTATTTGCCGCAGGTTCAGTTTACATTTGCAGAAGTTTTGTTCTGACTGCAATTTGTATAGAGATCCGCGAACTTGCCTGTACAAAATTACAGACGCTTTTTTAGTTTTTATGTATGCATATAAGTTGTAGATTATAAAGCATATTAAAGAAAAGAACGCACCACTCAAGAACTGCAATTCATGTTCTTCACCAACACATGCTATGACAACAAAACTTTAATAAAAATATAAATGGAACAGCTCCGATGGGACATCGAGCATTGCATGCGGATCATGTGGTATACATAACTCGGAATACGCAATTTTCCTCTTCCTCCTGTGATATTACCGTGATAGCGATAAAGAGCTCGTTTCGCGGAAATTCAATCGTTGGTGTCAGCTTCATTGTTTCAGAGCGAAAAGTCACCACTTCGTGCCTGACCGAAGCAACCAAGCAAAATGCAAGTAAAATGAATCACAAAACCTTCAGGCTCTTAGTAAGGATTGACCCCACGTACTATGAAAATAACTTGGTGTTCTTGCACATGCAGTGGCAATAATTCGTGCAAAACATGCATACGCGTGCTGTGTGCATGCTTCAAAATAGAACATGCTATATCGCTGTAAAATTGGGTGGCAAGTGACACAAGCATGTATTCTAAATCGGGCATCAGAGCATGTGAATATGGTAAGGAATTTCGTTGTTTTAAGCCGGCCATCTATTGCAATGGACACAGTTTACTTCACACATTCCCTTAAGACCATGTAGTTGGCGTTTCGCAAGTTCGAAATCATTTCTTCTGCATATTTGCCCATGGTTTTAGAAATTCTCTCAATTAGAATGCAGCCTTACGTAAAGGATCACTGAGACAAGCCACTTTTAAATTCATAGATTGCATTGTAGTTATCCACAATGTGAATTCTCGAGTAACATTGAATCATGCACGAAGTGGTTGAAGTACTCACTACGAACAGAATAACGCTATCGCGTTCGCCTCTTAAAAGCAAAACTAAACGGCTCCCACAGTTCTGGTGATTCAGAAGTGCTTGGCAGAAGAAGTTTCAAGGCATATTTAATTAAAGAGGCAGACAATTTGGTTTATTTCAAGCGATCTGCTGGCGCTTCAGGCGACTTAGACAGCTCTTTGGAGCAGTACTGTGAGCTCTTGAGCTATCGCATTAGCGCCCTTATTACCACGGAGCGAGGCGCATTCATGAGTACAGGCATTACGAACTACGGGAAGCAATGTGCCACCTTTACGTGCTTTTAAAATGGAGCGTGTACAGTATATATTAATGATTGCAACTGCCAATAACACCTTGTTCTACTGTACAGTAGACATTATATCAGAGATTACATCACGTTCAATATCAATATGTTGTAGAAATTTCGGGGTGTTTCAAGATATGATTCGGTAAAGAATGTGAACACAGCTTTATTACAGGTAGCTTCATTACAGTACCTTGTGTATTGAAGATTTACAAGTTACAAGCAGGGTATAATTTTCTACACTTGCAACTAGGGCACGTATTAGTCTTGTAAATCATCACATTTTTTCGCTGTGGCGTAATTGCAACTGCGCCTGCACGTGAGTTTTTTTGTGAGTTAAACGATTAAGTAGGGTGCACTATATTTAGTATTCAAATTTGATAGTTATGAAACGTCAGTCTCTCTGCCTTGAAAAACTATCTGCATCAATTTTTTTGTGACTCATGTCATGTTTTCTTCGTTTTTTTATTCTTTTGCTTTTCAGATGATAGGCCCACCCTTAGATGCTTTTCATATGAAGTGCCCTTTCCCCAATGATAGGATGCTCTGGTGTTATCTATAGGTTATTGCGCAGCTAATCTTTTAGCAAATTTTTTTGAGAACGCGAAGAATTTGTTGTTTCTCTTTTTTGCGACAATAAAGTTTACCTTTTTTCCGGTTGATTGTTTGATTCGCTGTTTGAAGACACTTGACCCCACCATCGACGCTCACTGATCATTAATTCGGAAAAAATGGGCTTGTTTGCCTATCTTTTTGTACTGAGTTTTTTTATTTTTAAATAAAACGCCGTAATCTGGCGTTCAATTTCTTTAAGCAGATGTGTTGTCGTACTTTGTGAGAATTTTTTTGGGCTTTACCTTGTTACGTTTGGCTACAAACACCCTAAAGTTTCATGTGATTATGAATATTTTGCAATCGTATCACTCGAAATATTGTCTCAGAAGTTCTAAATAAAGACCAGATCAGTTCGAAGGAAAGCCACTTATAGGATCTACAAAGAAGCAAAAGTCCTAAGAATATACCTAATATCAATATGACTCTGCCTGCAAGTACAACTATGAGTTATCATTATTGTAGTTCACATTTTTATATAAGTAAACAAAAAAGCACATTATATCTTGCCCCAATGCACTCTCCTTCACATGCAGGCTATAATTGCTTTTTTTTTTCAAATTACACTGACGTTCTCTACAAAGCATTCGCTTTTGCGGCTCTGCTCTACCTGAATATTTCCGGTGACAAAAGTGCCTGTCACTCTGCTTTCGACAAAAATATGACTCTTTATTTTTGTTATTACATCCTCAAATGCTATGTCACGAACGTTCGCAATAGTATATAAAGACTGCAGGTACAAAGAGGGTTTTACTGAAGGCACCTGTCTCGTCTTCAACAGGATACCTTTGTGAGTATGCATTCTCATATTGGTGGCTCCGCACAAAGTGAGTCCTTTAGATCAGGATTAACAACAAGATTTAAAACATTTACTTTATTCAGATACTTTTGTAGTTTTCTGATCAGCTGAGCTGTATATATTCTATAGCCTCGTGTTCGATATAAACGTTCTTTATGGAAGAGTCGTTGATATTGTGACAGTATTTCAAGTATTTATTTCGTCCTCAATAGCCGGCTCTTATAAAGTGGTACTTCCTAGGTATTTGAAACAAAAACATCTAGACCTAAAATCTCAACTCGAATATGCTCATTAACGCTAAATGACTCAAAAAATGACCCCACACTTAGTGCCGAGCCATCATCAAAGCACCGTGCCCACCTACGGCTTCAGATGCCCTGGTGAGCTTTTATTTTTTATTTCATGGTTCCACAGCTGGTTTACTTAAAAAAAAAATTCCTGAACGCAGAAGTGTAGTTAAGTACGTAGTAAGATTTGATCCACTGCTAACATTTGTTCTCCTGTAGACGTTATTAGTATTTCATTGGTGAAATGCGTTTCACGGTCTCTTCATCTACTTAAAAAACATGAAAACAAGATGGGACATCCATCACTTTCAAACCACAATAATAAAGTATATATGAATGCTCTCACCACAATATTAAAAAATTAACTATGGTATAACTGTCCAATTTCACGAAACATGTTTGCTCCCTTTTATTTAATAAGTAACGAGTGAGCAGAGGTCATAGTCAACCAAGAGTGCGGTGGACGTATCACTCCGCCTAAACTTTTTCCAGTGGGGCCAAACTTTATTCCTGATTAAGGTTCGAAAGAACATTTTAGTTGGTATTTTAACAACTCTGGGCACCGTGACTTAATATGACCTCTCCACCATGGTCTAAGAAATCACCCCATGAAGTGTAGTTGCTACAGCAAACTTTGTTTCTTTGAAAAGATACCGTTGATGAATAATATCATGTGAATAATTTAATATGGTGTATCCGTCTAAAATGCCTATCTCGCAAATTTCTTACGCTCAACCAAATCAGGCTATTCGAGCAAACTGTCGTGCTATAAAACTTGACTACAACACTTACAACAAGCACTAGGCGCAGATAAGCTAAGCCAGACGAGTGTTGTATTAAGAAAGGCATGATGACAAAGTGTGTAGGTGTGTTACTGAACTCATTATTTTATTGATACTTGCAGTGAATTCAACATGAATGGTCTTACTGGAGTCAAAGTCCTGCTGTGCGTCGTCTTCGCACTAGGTGAGGACGATTACCACACAAATAGCTTTTAATAATTAGAAAATTATGTTCTCTACGCAACTTTGATATCTCTGGGGAAAATCTTCCCTGTGTACTCTGCTTCGTGACAGCGTCTGCTCTCACGCCGTCACGTTCTTGCTTTGTTGGCGATGGTAGCCTTAGCATTGTGTAGTCTCAAGATTGGCGACAGAAACTTCAGCAAGATGTAATAACTGATGTAATCGTGGTTTTGTGATATGATAGACGCCATTGTTCAAGGTTTCTTCCTCTCAAACCTGACCATGTTTTATAAAACTAAAATGGCTGGTTACGAATTCCAACTTTGTTAAAGGGGTGTTTGTTGGTCCTGATATGTATCGGTAATTTTCCTAAGTACCCCTTGCATATCAACTGTTTTATGTTACTGTAGTGATATCCCGCACAAAAACTATCTATATTATTGTCCATCTAGTGCTACACCTGAGGTGCTGAGTAAAATTTCATTGATGTGCGGTGTACTAAACGAAAAAAAAATTCATTATGTCAGTACAAAATTCCTGTAGAAATGTCATTAAAATTATGAAAATTCCAAAGAAATGTGTAAAGAGTCTTATGCTTGATACAAGATTGAAGGTTATACCACCGAAACTAGTTTATAATAGGTCAGAATTGCGGCCTTTGAAGGCTGTTTTATTTACAGAGCTAAGAAAAGTACAGCGTACAGTGGCCACTGTTCAATATTTGTGAGTTAAGCTGAATGAATATTTTGATTTTATGTGGATTCTCGCATAATATGACAATATATTTGCAAACAAGCCAACTGTCTTAGCACTTCATAACAAAGCTATTCTATTTACGCTGTCCATCCCCGTGCTTGTTGTCTAACACTGAGGTGTACAGTGAAAGCACCAGATTCATTTCCTACTTTTTTCTTTGCAGCTATCTTGACTAATGAAGCTGTTGCTTCTCTGGGAGGTGGTGTCGGAGGTGGCAGATCCCTAGGAGGTGGTGTTGGAGGTGGCAGATCTCTAGGAGGTGGTGTCGGAGGTGGCAGATCTCTAGGAGGTGGTGTTGGAGGTGGAAGATCTCTAGGAGGTGGTGTTGGAGGGGGAAGATAAATCAACAGCAAGTAAATTCCTGCTAAATAAAGGCAGACTCGTGCCAGAATATGGGAGTTCTCAAATTGTTGCTGGCTTTAAATAAAGAAATGAAGTTGAAACGTTTGTTGGTTGCGATAATATGGTAATGTTGCGAGCTGACGCAGGCTATTAAAAGACTTTGAACGTATTCTTGAACCGCCTAGGTTTTTAAAACAGCATTCAGAAAAAAAAATGATTTCCTACGTACAACCAAACTATATACTATTTCGCACTAGCAAAATTACCGAGCTTGCAGCTGGACGACACATGGTAATCAAGAACACGCAAAAGCGAAAAAAATGAGATCATGCTTGAGCTTCACGATTCAAAGAAGAAAACGCAATAACGCAGTCGGGCCTCACGCCCATCGTAATTTCATTGGCTAATCTGAATGTGGTTCTGACTGTATAGGTCAACCACGCCGTAAGGAATTGAAGAAGTGTGGGCGCTACACTGGCCACTTCCAAGTATCCTGAAATGACTACTCCATGTAGTACAAGTGTTAGAGAGGCCGTTTAACGATTGAAAACATTGGTTCTGACTTCATAACTCGAAGTGGCGCTCGCCAAAACTACTGAGAGCGGAAATGATGACGACAGGTTGCCTCCATAAGATTGCATAAACGTAACGTTAAATGTGATCGTGGGATCGCATCAAACTACGGATTTCTATTGAATGAAATTTTTTCATCAGCATCATTTTTCACTCAAGCGACAGAGCATTAGGCTCTCCGACTTTTCCACCCTCAAAACTACAAAGCTGTTCAAACAATGCGCCGAACGCCTTGTGCTGGAGGAAACACGCGGGCGACGTTCCGGGCGCCGTTGTTTGAAGAAAGTAAAAAAAAATAAGTGTATTGACATATATACGTTATAGCAAAAATAAAGATAAGTAAAGCTACAAAACATTATAAAAGCGTTCGCGAGCTGGCTTGTTTCGCACGTGTCGTTCCCTTTTCAAATACCACATTGTTTGTAACGATTGCAATGGCGTCCTTAATACGCTGGACGTAACAGTCAATATGTCATGCGAGCTTCCTGTACGGTGGGGTTTTCAGTTCATTTCATTGGACGGCCTTCCGACGTCAGAGGGTGAGGGAAACACGGTAATGTCAGCCCACGAAAATAGAGTTGATGATAAGCGTTCATTTCCTTTTATTTTGATATTCCTACGCTGAATAACCTTGCACTGCGTGGCGCTATCACTGCCGTTCTTGCGGTACTTAACTCTTACGCTGTCAGTGTGCGCAATTAGCTAGAAAAACAAGTTAAACATTGAAGTTGCAAAAAATGTTAGAGGGCCCCTTTACGATCACACTATATATACGCTATAATAGGGCCTACTATGCATTGATGAAGTGACACGTTGTCCTGCACACCTGTTCGCTTTGTTGATGCATTCGCGGATAACGATGATTAAAAAGACCAAACCATTTTATAACATGTAAAGCTTTAAAAATGCCGCTCGTTGCAGATTTGGAACTGCTAACGACTGATATCATTTCCCACTGGTGCCACGAATTTAACGTGGGTTGGGGGACTTCTTCCACTATATGTCAATGAGATCGTTCTTCGTTGTTTCGATTCAGTTTCGAGAAACAACTTGACAAAACGGGTGGAACATCTGTTTGTTTGATGAAAAATCCTCGAACAAGGGTTGTGTCGAGCAGACGTTCCAACAAGCAAGCTGGTCTTCATCAAGACTAGCCTGGAAAAAATAAGTCCACATGTCAAAACGTGTAACCAGCGATCCCCTGTTTACGAATTTTTTATCGCAAGCTTCCATCGTCCGCCTTCTACTATATATGTTAGTTACATACAAAGGCGATAGACAAAATACGCAGCATGCAACAGCATATAGTTGCCATGAACGTGATAGGGTTAAGAGCTCGTTACGCACAAATTCCGATGTCGACAGCAGCGTTGTTAGTTGAGAGCAATAGCTCATCCTGTGAGTCATCAAAAAGCTGAAAACAGTGCAAATAAAATGAATAATAAAAACTTCGGATTAGAGTGGATGTCGAAAACGGATCGCTTGGGCCTCTGTGGTGATTTTACTGGGGTTGTTTATGTGAAAAGCGGGTGTATTAGCATAGAGCCACGTCACTGCTTGGAGAGAGAAAGAGATAAAGATACAAGGAAAGGGAGGGAGGTTAACCACTTACTTGAAGATACATTAAAAACAAATGGGGAGATCCCACGTACAGTGGGAATCAATGATATGCGAAGCATGAATAGGAAAAGTTCATATGATGCTTTAAAATCAGCTCAACGTTACGAGGCGCATGGACGATGTACACAATAAACACAATACGAAATGTTATTTGCACTCATGTATCTAGGTAAGATGCAAATATGATGTCTATAGTCGCGTCACGACGGCACCACTAACGTTTGCAATACCAGCAACAGCAGTGGTAGGCATGTATTTTATGCCACCCATGACTTCCATGTCATGATTATCATGTTCAGCCTGGCAATTGTGTTCGTCCTCTATTCACATCACTTAATGCCAAACTTTGTATACGAGAAGCCAGCGAAATGGCTTCGAGCGTGCTATGGGCGTAGCATCTACTAATATTTTACACGACACGCATTTCATGATTATCATTTTGGGACATATAATTTACCTCGGTCGTCTATGCACATCAGGTAATACCGAATTTGGTATATATGACGCTAGCGAAACGGCTGGGAGTGTGCAATGGTCACAGCCTGGAGTCTTGTTTTACATGCATGTCATGATTATCAAGTTTGAGCGGGTCATTTACCTGCGTCGTTCATTCACGTCAGGTTACACAGAATTAGGTTTATTTGAAACAAGCGAAACGGCCGCGAATGAATCGTGAGCGTTATTTCTAGTCATAATTTTACACAACACACATGTCATGATTGTCAAGTTTGCACCAGTCATATACCTTCATCATCCATTGACGTGACGGAACACGAAATTTTGTGTAGGGTAAACAACAAAACAGCTATGAGCCCACTATGAGCGTAGCATGTAGCCATGCTTTACATAACACACATGTTGTGATTATCATGTTTGGACGTGTCATTTACCTTCGAGCTCCGTTCGCGTCACGTAATATAAAATTTGATATATGGGAAGCTAGCGAAAAGGCCGTGAGCGCATTATGAGCGTGTTATGTAGTCATGTTTTACATGATACGCATGTCATGATTATCACGCTTTGACGTGTCGTTTATCCTTATCATGTAGTCACGTCACGTAAAACCAAATTTGGTATATGTGACGCTAGTGAAAAGGCCGCGAGTGCGCTATCAGCGTAGCATGTAGTCATTTTGTACATGACATGCATATCATGATTATTGTGTTTGCATGTGTCACTTACCTTCGTCCTCCACTCTCGTCACGTAATGCTAAATTTTCTATATATGTCAAGCTAGAGAAACGGCTTCGAGCACATCATAAGCGTGGTATGTAGTCATTACCCTACATTAAACTCATATCAAGATTATTCTGTTGACACCAGTCATATACTTTCGTGATTTATTCACGTCTTGTAATACCGTAATTGTTATACGGGAAGCTCGGAAAACAAACTCGAGCGCACAATGAGCGTGACATATAGTCATAACTTACATGACATGCATGGCATGATTTCTCTGTTACGTGCTGCCACTTATGGTCGCCATGCAATCATGTTACCATACTAATTTTGCAACATGTCAAGCGGAGGAGACCACCGAAAGAGCAGAAATTCCTTGACATGTATATCATGACATTCGTGACATACATGGCTTTATTATCATGTTATGACTAGTCATTTACGCTCTTCATACAGTCATGTAATTTCATACCAATTTTGGTATAGGTTCTATTAGTGGAATGGCAAGAATAGTCGGGTCACACACGTGGTCCGACTCTCCATGTAATCTTGTAGCCTCTCAGTGTGGCAATAGCGACGTTCTGCTCGTCTTCTAATTGCTCGTAAGTGCTCATAGTCTGCATCAACACTGTAGTGTCCTGCTGGGACGGCTGAAAACCATGTCGCACGGGAGTGACTGCTTTTAATGCAGGACATGAACGTATTCAGGTCAGTAACTCCCGCCATGCCACGTCCAGTATGTTCAAGAAATAGTTTCCATCAGTTATTAACGCGATAGCGTTAGAGAGTTCATGTCGCAGAAATTCCGCTGCTGGCGTCGGCCCCGTTGGTTGTGAGCGAAAAATTGTTCGTGAGCGGAAATGCACGTTAAAGATATCACCGCAGGAGGCCGCTACTTAACGTGTGCGTGCGCAATCACACTGAAAAAGCCGTCAATTCGAAGAAAAAAATGCTCAAAATCAAGAGGCGTGCGTGATGTAGTTTCTTTGCCCCTGCCATCTCTTCCTGCTTAGATTCCAGTGCATTCGTCGGGACGAGAGAATGCAATAGGAGCATGCGACAAACCTTTGTAGCGACAAACCTTTGTAACTCCACTCGCACTGGATAGATTCTTAAAAAGTTTGCGGCGTTTAAGTCGTGAGGCCATAAGCTCTTCTAACAAATTCGTTCCAAGGTTACTTAAAAACTGTTTCAGGGCGCCTTTATTGCATTTTTTGACAGGTGTCACGAATAAAAAGGAGCCCAATTGGCGATTTTTAGGCGCATTTGGGAGGGCTCAAACTACGTCGAAAAAGGCAGAGATAGCGTAGCCATCACCGCTAAAACACACAGAAACTTGCCAACCGCTCTGAAAATGGGCAACTATGTTCATCTAGCGGAAAACATATCATGCCTTTCCAGCGGCGTTGGTCAAGCAAACAGCAGACGCAAGATAATGTGCAGCCATCTATGAGACAATGTCAGACTCTTTATGGCCTCCGAGATGGCAAGTACGGGGCGTGTATATTGGAGGCCATGCGACTGTTGCTTTAGATCAAAAACTTGTATGAACCATTCGCGCGCACGTGCTGGCGCAATCTACTGTGTGCGTGTGTGTGTATGTAACAAAACTTCTTAATAAGTATGCACTTAGCGGTTGGAGAGCACACTAGGGGCTTGATTTTGCTATCGCGTTCAACTCTTAAAGGCAAAGCCGAAGAATCCATAAATTGTTTTTAGGTTAAGGTTTCCGT